CGAACTACAAATTAAAACGGTCAAGTATATATCAAGTGCAGTATACACCTCATTCTCAGGCTCCATTTATGACTACGCTCTGCATGTCAGAAAAGCAACATCTGCTTAAACCAATAAGAGATCATTTTTAGCCATTTATATGACAGTCTTCCTGACAATTTCATGATAATTCATGGCGATCGTTCTTCAGCACCACCAATTAGAGCTGCCTTAGTCATACGAGCCATTTAAAGTGCTGCACAATCTCTCGTTTCTATACAACGATAGCACTCCTTTATGAACTTTGAAGAGGGGAAAGTGAGTTACCATCCCAAGAATCGAACCGCAGATCCTACGATTTCCACGTCGCATCTGCTCAACCGCAGCGTAGTCGGCTGTAAGAAAACTCTCATTTAACGTATTTTAACAATATCTTGGAATCACGTAACCTTCATAATTTATGATTTAGGACGCTAGATGAAGGAGCAGATCCCATTTTGCTAAGACATTCAACAAACACACGTCGGTTGTCGTGCTTTCAAAACATACGTAGCATTAGCATGCGTCATGCATCGCATATGCATCAATGATGGCCTTTTCTGCTCTTCTGTGACTGCTTTAGAGACTAGAAGGCCTCGTAACACTGAGCGACTCAATCTGCAATGTCATTGATCGAAACATTAATGACGCAATCCATGGGAGCAATTGCGACTCACGTAGTAGCACTACGTGGAGATATGTTACCAGGGGTATCACGGATAATCGGCACCAGGCATCAGCATGTCACATATTTGCACGGACTACACACTATCACTGAGGTTCTGAAAGTTGTGGACGTCTGTAACAGTTTCACATTTCTTCAATTCATTCATTCTTGACTTTATATCTGTTTTTACTATCTTCCATTCATTGGTATTCTGTTACCTTATGTTCTGTTTCTGCCTTTGTTCTAGCTTTGCCTTTTTTTAAATTTCAACATCTACAACATTAATATGTCGCTAGGCCGATAAGAGTGTAATTCTCACACACTCGATCTGACAGTTTTGCTAGAGTGCTATTCTTTATTGCCACCTTATGCATCCTCTACGCCACTTTGCATCTCTGTTTAAAAGATAGATTATTTTGTGATTCCGTTCAAAGAGTGAAATTTAAACTTCAAACCATGCTCAACTGCCTTACCTCATTCCACTAAGTCCCGCGTTTTTCAATTTTAGGCAGTACAGCAACACCAAACCTGTTATTCATATTATGCACGCAAGCTGAAAAGAGTTCCATACAGAAGGCCGTTTCTGCGAAGTTAGAAGCATATGCACAGTTAGAGTCAGGAAGAGCTGTGATGATTCATTATTTTAAAATTCTATTCATTTATATTACAGATTCATAAGAGGTAACAACTTACGAAACTGACGTTAATGCCTTCGTCATAGGGGAACTACGGAGGGGGAAGGCTGGTAAAGCTGTCAGGACGGTAAAGCACTTCAATAAAAATGTATATTCACTACAAACGAGACAGATAAGTAGAAGATTCAATAAAAATAAAAACGTTTTAATTAGGGCAGCTTGAGTTCAGTTTAAGGCTATTCGCAAATCCATGCTTTTGGGAGTGCGGTGGTATAGTGGCGAAAAATCTGGCCGTGAATTCCGCAAGTTCGATTCGAATCCAAAGAAGGGACTAACTTTTCGTTGTAACTGCCAATTTCCTTGTTAATAAATTAATCCGACATTGATACGGTACAATCAGCCGGAAAACACTTAGTACGTCGGTGAGTTGTGGACAACAGAGAGAACATTGTATTCGGGAGTGGTCATACCAGAACGGATAAGGTGCAAGGCTGTGCTGCCAGTGGGAGCACCTCTTATAGCTGCACCTACCTGACTGTTACCTTATGCAGTGTAACAGTCAGCAAATGGTGTAACAAAGCTCCAAAAATGCAAAAGTTTCAAAACAATCCAAAATCAGATGACATGTACCCTAATTTCGTCTAATACGCAGGAGGCTAAACGTCAAAAACAAAATGTTTAGTACACATGGAAGAAAATGTTAAACTCATGGTAATTTCTAAACTTTACCTGGAATTCCTGTGTAGCGTTCTATCATTTCAATATATTTCTGGGCATTTTCTGGCAGTTTTTCGAAACTGGTGATGCTTTTTGTGTTCTGTTTCCAGCCTGCAACCGTTTCATATACCACTTCCAGTTTACGAATGTCTTCCTCACAAGCTAAATGCGTGAAACTTGAAATCGTGAACCAAAGCAACTGTAACAAAACGTAACTTTATCATTTTAAAGCAGTGTACCCGTGAATATCTGATACGCACTTCAATAACAAAGAATCATTTATATAGTTCTGACGGAGCAACAGGTTTACATCTGGACCGTTAAAAATCTTTTGCAAGCGTACCGATCATTCACACTATTCTCCAGAAAGTACTTAAATCACTGTTAGTATCAGCCGTAGTACTCCATTAGTACTACTTATGTACTTAAACAAAGCTGTTCGTATCTGTCTTTTTGTGTCATAAAAAAGTCAGTAGAGTAGCAACAACTGCATTCATAAAATGCGACATGGATAAAATACCAAATGCCAAATGACAGACTGTCAATTACCTGGTATACTGTGGATGGGTTTGCCGTCAATTTTGTATCCAGTCGCCACTAAGATAGTGTCAAAATCATCGAGTACGTCGAGTTTCGTCACTGCAAGCCTTAAGAAAGAAATAAGGGAGTCAAGTCATTGTCGAATAGCATTGCAGTGTCCAAACTCACTTAGTAAATCCGTTGATCATATGCGTGTATTTCAGGAGCACTAAGTCCAACCAGCCGCATCGACGAGGCCTGCCAGTGGTGACGCCGTATTCGTGACCTTTTTCTCGAAGCAGTTCCCCGATGGACTAAATTTATCAAACTGAGTAAGTCAACAAACCTCTACCCGTCTGCTGACTCTAATGTGCTCCACTGTCCCTACGTGGAGTCGTCTTGATATGTGGCGACATTGAAAATGTGTCATTCGCAACAACTGACCTGGTATATTCGGTCTTTGATAGGAAGGCAGTTTTGATTAAGGATAAGAGATCCCAATAAACTTACATGCCACGTCTACTGACGTATGGGGAATGAAGAATACTTACAGGGTTATATAACAACTCGCTACTGTTTTTCACTAGTTTCACATGGAAATACTGGTGCTTCTTACAACCCAGGTGACGACTCTCAGTGAGGACGACATTGAGAGATACCAATATCTCATAATTGCTTATGTATCTCGATCATGTGGTAAGTTTTCAATCCATGGCATATTTTAAATTGTATATGGTTGTATATGGTTTATACTACAAACCCATATGTGAAAAAATGCAAAACTTACGTTAACCTGTTCCGTAGGGAAGGGACCATCGCCAACCCTGGTAGTGTATGCCTTGCAAACGCCGATAATGTTGTTTAGTCGATTCGGTGGGATCCCAAGACCAGTAATGACGCCACCGACGGAACAGTTGCTGCTTGTGACATATGGATACGTGCCTAAAAGACCAGTTTCTAAAAGACGAGGGAACAGCCAATCAACCGAAAACGTTTCACAATCATTGAGGTCCTTGCTTCAACTTGTGCTCAAGGGCAAACTAAGACTGGTTCTTCGTCTGTACAAATATAGTAAAACCCAAACGACAAAACTTTAATCTAAAGTCCTTATGTAGAAATCTCAGAATCGAATGTGGAAATCTGAGCTGAAGCAAATAAGCACAAAACGACCGATAAAAAAGATAAAGATGGTTTGATTACAAAAGAAAAGGAATAAAAGCCTCTTTGAAGATTAAAGGCCAATGAGCCGAAAAAAGGGAGAAGGTTGAACAATTGGAATTAGCATCAACAAGACAAAGGCGTGCTGGATAGAGGTAGTAAGCTAAGGATCTCAATTTACGCATAAATATAGGGAGACAGTCGAAAACACGCGTCAGAGGATTAACAACCTACAGAAACAAAGCACACTGAGACACAAACCTCGCGATGACACATGATTCAGTAAGACTCATCTTCTGTTTAGAGGAAAAATCAATGCCATCACGGAAATGATCCAGCAGTCCTTAGCGCAACAACTTGTTATAACTGGCAATGTAGGTGCTGTGCTACTGATGATAGCCCTACCGTGTGGAGTCACAATGGCTTGTCATCTATGGCTTCAAAAACGAACAAACTGAACAAAATGGTAATTAAATAAAATAATAACATACATTTCATTATCTTGTCACTTCTCTGGATTTAAACGACGTAGCACACCGCACGTTGTTGCAAACAGAAAATTATCAACTGCCATTAGAACCACATTGAATGAAAACAGTACTGCCCAAAGTACGATATGGTCACGAGACCTGTGCATTAACGAAGAAGGATGAACAGTTCTTGAAAGTGCACCAGCCGGCTGTGGGACGATGGATGATAGGAATTTCCATAATTGAGAAGCTGCTAAATAATGTAACAAAAAGAAGCATGGGAATGCCGGACATGGCATCTGTTTCAAACGAAAGAAATGGCAATGAATAAGCAACACAGCGCGATTGACGAATGACAGATGAATTTCAACGGTATCGGAATGGCACCAAAAAGCAGCCAGCGCCAAATAGGAAGATTTCATCTGAGATTGAGCAATGAGCTATCACAAAAACATGGAAGCTAGTGACGAAAAACGCACAGCATAGACGTAGACGAGCAAAGGCATGGAGATCAGGCAATAGTGATCCCTCACTAATCGCGAAGAGGGATCAGTTAACTGCAATTACTGTTGTGTTTTATAACGGCATTAATAATAAAACTTCTACGACTGATAATATATCATTGTTAATTAATGAATATGATATAGAATTTTTCTATATGGTGGAAGATATACATTCCGGTCGTCATAAACTGAATCAACAACGCACACAAGTTCTAATTACGCAAATTTTACTTTTACAAGCTAACTTTTTGGACCAAATATGGTTGGATTTGACAGATGAAAAGAATATCGAACTGATGTAACTGGCGGAGCAAAGTTGTGAGAGTAAGATGTACCAAGTAAATTTTCACGCATTGCTAATTATTAACACAGCAGGCTAATAATTAAAAATCACATAAAGGAAAGATAAATTTAGAAGAAAATACACAAGGTAAATATCAAAGAAGTAAATGATCGCGAAAGAGTGGAAGAGAGAAACAGCTGAAACGATAAATTACCACACAACCCACATCGAAACGTTCATGTATAAGGCGCTACCGGTAAGAATCCGTGACGATAAAAGACCGGAAAGATATGCAAATTGACTACCTCTTGTATGCTGCCTGATGAACCAAAGGAAACGATCAAGCGAAAATATATAAACAACATTTGCTAGGATTCAAAGGTTTTAATCTAAAATGGGCGAAAGTCGCATAGCCCTTTCTCATAACTCTATCCGCACCTCTTCCCTCTTCCGCGCAACAAACTCAGGTAACCCCCTCCCAATGTATATAGAAACGGTATTTATTTTCGAAAAAAATTTAATGAAGTGTTAGTGATGCTCTGTTCCGAGTCGTCTCAGTCATAAAGAACATTCTATTCTATTCAGCATGCTACTCACGTCCTCCAACGAATTAGTAGTAAGGTCGTGAAGATCTCAGATCGTGACAACAGTACTGCTGGTCTCATGATACGCGGGTGGGCTGTCATCATCACTGTTAGCAGCTTTGGCTGCAAGTTGCTTAAGACTAGTGAAATCCGGTCAACATTTCGCATGTTGATACTAAGGGTCTTTTACTGCGTCGACGAAACAAAGATTTATCCCTGGCAATAGATCTGTTTAGTTACCTCATCAAGTGATACGCTAGCCACTGATCTTTCTCTGACAATGTTTTGGCTCCCAGCTCAGCTCCGCAGTTATCGAGCAAACGAACCTTGTATTGCTTACTGGTAGAACCACATCAATCGTAGATCTCAGAGCAAGAAATTGGTTTGTGATCGGCCAATGCAAGAACATTGTCATTCCTCACACGATCGCACCAATGGGTTTTCAGCATGTTACGCAGTCAGCGTTGTTGGAGGCTGTCCAGACAATGCATGTTGTGTAAACAATGAATCAAACTACCAATATCTCTAATCTAGTTGGAATATCATGCTACATAATTTAGTTTCTACAGTTTAATCTTTTATTTTCTTTCTGCATGTCATATTTTTTCTTTACTATGTTATCACTTACTTGCTGAAATTTGATACCCGCGATTATAATCTTTTCTGCGCTGAAGTAGAAAAATAGCTGTGAATTCTAAAAGCTTCACTCGTTAAACATACCTTCATCAGGGGTGAAACCGTGTCTTTCTATCTGTTCTGAGGCATCTTTTAAGAAGATTCATTTTGGCTATTCCATATCAATGGAACTCAGGACGGCTACAGAGGGACTCGCAGCCTCAATCAAATAATGGTAATGGAACTCCTCTGTTAACCAAAAGCTGAAGCACGTTTTTCGGTTTCATCGATTTCATTCTTCAGATATTAACTAACCCTGATAGACTAAACCTGGCGTATCACGAAGAAGCAGGTAAGAAGTTATAATCATTTCGACGTTTTACATTTTTCTTAGGGCAAGAACAAGGGCCTTCGCGCTCTTGGAAAGCCTGACAATGTTGTCAGACTTTATTTGAAAACGTCAACTACGTTTGGTTGCGGTATATCAATTCAGACGGCGGATTTTCGTGTTTCGATGCCCTGAAAAATCGATTTGTTTTGGTTTTGATGCAGGATCCTGATCAGGGTACTCTAGGTCATTCCTATGATCAAGAAATTTGCACTTATATCTGGTTACGTGACGATTATAATCGGTATGCTTTACCTGTAACAGGATCGACAACGTCGACTACCCAAGAACAGCATTCCCCTTCCATTTCACACTTAAAGTACTATTCAACCAAAAATTATAAAAACCACTGGTAGATAAAAACTGTATCAAATGATTTCTAACTCATTTTTCGCTGTGGCTGTTTTACATTTGAACTACATTTTTTTTAAAGTACCTACCGAAGTCTACGTCCAGCAAAGTTCCATTCGCACCTTCGACCAACACGCGATTCGGTGGATCTTTGGCGAATGCCTCGCTGAAGTACAACACGGTATCCTTGACGATCTGCAGTTTCGTAAGCCTCTCGGCGTACTCCTGAAATGGTTGGAAAAAGAAGACGATGGACTATGTCTGCTAAAGACGAAAAAACCTTATACTTCCGCAACTCTGACTCGACATCGACCGTCAACGACGGAAACTGACGCTGAAAGAAATCAGCCAAATTACGGAATTTGGCCGAGAACGTATCGAAGTTCGACATAAGTTCTGCAAGCCTGATGCCGCTGCGCCAATACTAAAAAAGAAGCTGTGACGTTCAAATATAACAAAAATCAAACAAGTTGCAAAATAATAGCGAAACAAATAAATTAGAAAATACGGAAAGGCCATATAAGGAGGTTAATGTAAAGTAATTAATTTTCATTTTGTCAAGTAATAGATCAGAACCCATAGCAATTCTCTCATGGCAAAATTTCAACAATCAACCCATTTATTTTTGTTGTTGTTCTCCGATATACGTTTGAAAGATATGGAAATGATCTTCCTAACACCGCATGCAGTCTCGTAATCTCTAGTGCTCCTGGTCACTTTCTACGAAGAGTAAAATGCTCTAACGACGCGCCAGAATCATGCAGATCTTCCCAATTTTTGCCATGAACTAGCGCTCATAACAAAAGCACTGAAGCAACTATCAATGTATAAAAATCAGTTCCATCGAAAGAAACTATTTTAGGCTTGCATTCTTGGAAGACAGGAAATGTTCCTATCCGAGCAACTGCCTTTGTGATTGAAACGTAAAGTTTTCTATCAGTGTGTGCTTCGTCTAACCTATGCGTGCAAAATATGTACCTTATGCCTGAAAGCCATTCACAAACTGTAAACCAGGAAACAGAGCATGGAGATATGTACATGGAAAGCTGATATTGATACTAACAAGGCAGAAAGATGAATGTATAGATAAGAGCACAAACAACAGTTTACGGTGACAGTGCCCGAATGAGGCAAAGACGTTAAAAGTGGCAATGGGCTGGACACGTTGCATGAAGAACTACCCATCACTGGACCAGAGGGATGCTAAAATGGATTCCAGGAGTGAATAAACGGCCATTAGAAAGACCTCTAGATCGATTGCAGCATGAGCTGAGGAAGAACGCTGGATAGATATGAACAGAAATAGTACAGAAAAGACGCTTATGACAAATTCTTCGATAGTCGTTCATCCAGCAATGGATTGGCAAGGCTATTAATGACTGTCTGATAAACGAAAAAGGACGAGAATATTTTAAAAAAATACACGATAAACGTTCAGTGTAACAGTGTAAGAGTTTCGCTACAATCACCGATATAATTGTCAGAGTTATTTTATCTCACTGTGACTCTCCCGAGTCCCATCGACACGCATCAAAACAGCTACAGTAAATCGTCCTTTCAGACAATTCAAAAGAAAAAAAATTGCAGAAAATTAAATGTCTGTGGCAGAAAACGAGAACGCATTGGGTAGTGAGAATGATTACGCAGAGCATTATCAACAGGTACATCGCTGTTTGGCAAAATCGATTCATAAGTTTATATACGTGTTACAGAGTGCGGGTAAAGGTACGAGTGACATGCGCAGAGGGCTTAGTAACAGTGCAGGGAAAGGATAGCTGAGGCAACAAACAGAGTTGTGAGGGATGATTCAGTAACATTCGCCCTCATAACCGTCTAACTCTAGCATCCGATCATTGCATATGTTAGCCCGGCCATTTCCTATGATTATATGAGGCAGAAAACAAGAAATGTGCTTACCACAAGGAGATAATAATGCATATAATGACATACTTTACATTTAGCATCTTGTTACGATATGGAAAACAAAGCTTTCGAAAAATAGAAAGCAAAGAACACACAGCTATGATATAACTTTCTGAACAGTACCTTCGATGAGTATGTAGGACCAATTCCTCTTCGCGTAGTACCTAATCTAAAAGGCGACGCACATTAAAAAAGGACTTACAGTATAACTATTTTTTTAATGCCTAGGACTTTAATTTTTTAAATCTTGAATAAGAATAGTTAGAATAGAAAGTGCAGTATCAGAGACCAGGAGACTAGCAAAAATAAAAACACTAGAAGTTTACTCTGAGCTGTAAAATCAAACAATATGAAATTTTGATAAAACAAGAGAAGTGAATATAAGAAAAACTCAGTTACCCCCCGCCCTTCCCCGTGGACGATTTATATCCTTTATTTTTAATTTCAATAATATTCCATTAAATATAAAATCAGTGGTATGAACATCGCTTAAACTTGAAACCTCTGGATCTACCCTTGGGAACTGCAAATTTGGCAATCGACAGTACAGAGCTTAAAACAACCGGAATACCAAGTTACCACTGCCACCCCGACGGAAGGCGCAAAAGAAGAAGGATTTTAATTCAAAGATGCTACGAATTTGAATGCTTTCGCATGCTTGACATGAAACACTTTCTCAAATTGAATAACGCGGTTCTTACACCTATACTTTACAATACCGAGTTAAGTCAATAAATTCTAGAAACG